TTATTGAATGAATCGTTAACCGTATTGACCATTTTATACTAAATTATATTTTACTTATTGTTTGATGTTCTTGGGAATACATTTCTTTTGAGATTGTGATTTAGATTTTTAATAAATAATTTAGTTAAAATATGTTTGAAATATTTAAATTTAAATCGTTTATTAATTATTCTTTTATTTATGTTTGTAACTATTTAAGATGTTATGATAACGAGTCAACGAGAACAATTTTTTATGAGTGATCTAATGTAAAAATTAGTTTGTTGGGGGTCTGTTTGTCATCAAATATTTGAGCCCCGCTTAATACTTCACAAGATCTCCGCTTATGAATATGACATTGAAAATTAATTTAAAATAAAAACTGATAGAAACAATCATAATATTATCTTATCACCGTGCACACGTGCTGTGCATTATCAATTATCAGTTATCACTGTTTTTGATTGTGAACTAAACAAGCCATCATAATGATAATATTCATTGATGAATTTTGGCGTTCTCAAAATTTATTTCACCAAATTTGGTTATCCAGCGTCAATAATGCGTTAATACACAATAACGCAAAGAACGTACACTACGGTTTATTGTTGTTTGAAATGGCACTTCATGCTCGTGCTGTAAAATTTGGTTTACAGAGGATTTGTTTGGCACCTGTGTTGTTTCGATGCAACACACATGCCGCATGCCGTTTGGGTTTGGAATTTAGTTTTTCGACATCCAATGATACACCTAAACGTACCCCAAACGTGAGTCATTTTAATTATTTGATTGAAGTGTGTATTTTGATGTGTACATTTCATAGACCAACGAGTTAAAATGCGACCAACCTGATCAATCAAAAACCATTACTCAAAAATATACCGTATCTTTTTTTATTTTTACCATTGATTCCTCATTGAAATGTGTAATATCTTATACTTGCCCTAAACTAATGATAATATTTAGTTTTTAAATTAATATAATAGATTACAATTATATTTTATTTTTACAGGTACGATATTTAAGCTCAAACAATGAAAAAGTTATTGATCTTAGTTACTCCGACATTGATCCAGTGTACATACCAGTTAAGAAAGAAATAGTTGATAAACAAGATTTACATGAAGAAGATCAACATTCAATCAATTCTGTTAGTTTTTCATAATCAGCCATAACAGTTTAATCAATAAAAAAAAATCATATTGAATTCAATTGTAGGTTATTATTGGTTTTAGGAAATTGTTATTAAGTGTAAAAGAAAAAATTTGAATCACGAGAGGAATCAGAAATATGATCAGTTTAAAGAAATTCCATTGGCATCAAAAAGATGGAAGAACAAGAAGGCTAAAGATGATTATTTTACAATTCATATTTATAATGATGTAAGTTGTATTTTGATCAACATTTTGTGGAATACCATTTTATGTATTTTAATTTATTTTTGAAACTAGGATTATTTACCTCAGAGCAGAAAGAGTTTTTATGAATTTAAAAACACTGGACTATCAAAAAATATTCTTCAGATTTTAAAACAACATGAAATCACTATTCCCTCACAAATTCAAGTAAATATTTTAACCCTTTCACTAAACCGCATAAGTTATCAAGTCATATCAATTTTTCAGGCTCTTGGAATCCCATCAATACTAAAAGGAAATAACACTTTGCTTGCAGCTGAAACAGGTTGCGGCAAAACATTAGCATACTTGGCACCAATTATTCAACAAGTATTAGCTTATAAAGAAAGAGTAAAATTTCAAAATCAGTTCAACTGTCCTTTATCCTTAGTTATTGTACCTGGCAGAGAATTAGCTGATCAAATTGGAGTATGTTCAGTGCCTATGTTATATTTAATTTATGGAACAATTTTAAAATTAATAATTTTGTTAAATGACAAGAATATTTTAATTTAAAATTTTTTATTGTAGGAGATTGCTAAATGGTTTACTGAAGATTTACCATTGAATGTAAAAGTAATTACTGGAGGACATACAAAGAGGCAGATAGTGAATCCAGTTTTTGAGGAAAATGATATAATTATTGCTACATTAGGAGCATTGAGCAAATTAACAAACACTGGTATGATTAAGAAGCCTTATTTTTTTATCCTCAGAAAAAACTAATTTTCTTGTAATATTTATTTCAGGCATATACTCAATGCGTTACGTACGTCATGTTGTACTAGATGAAGCAGATACTCTAATGGACGATAGTTTCAATGAACTAATGACTCATTTCTTATCTAGATTCCAAGTACATATACTTTTTTTTTTAACTATTTAAAACCATGTGCATCAATATAGGTTTTAATATGTTTATTTATTTAAGACTTAAGTATCAAAATTTTACAATATTTGTTATATTTATGTTCACAGTTTAAAGGTCATAATGCAAATTCTAATTTGACTCAATTGTTGTTGGTTAGTGCCACAATGCCAACAAGCTTATCTGATATATTGGGCGGTTTAATCGATGTAATATTATTATGACTTGATATGGTACATTAATTGTAAAAGAAGTCGAGTAATCAATTTTTTCAACTATAATTTTTAGATGGACAGTTTGAACAAGATCAAAACGGACAAATTACATGCCATTCTCCCTCATGTTCAACAAAGATTTATTAAAACTAATCAGGGTGAAAAACCATCAAATTTGTTGTTACATGCAAAAAAACTCTCCAAAAGCAATACTCCTTCAATTATATTTTGGTATCTTAAAAATATACTATTATTTATTATAGTCAAAATAATTTTATCGTGAATAGACTTGAGAAAAGTTTCTATTTTTGTAATAGAAAATTATTTCAAACATTATATGCTTCATATTTTAATAATAGTTCTGTATTGATCAATTAAGTATAAATGTGGACGCTTTTATTTTTAGAAAGCATCTCATATCAGTGTAAAATAAATAATAATCAATGTTATTATTATTAATTTGATAACTTATCTAATCCAATTCATTTTAAGCCTTTTATATTTATAACTAAATTACTCATATTTATTATTGGAGACTCCGATTATTATTGAAATATCAATGCAAAACATTGTTGTGAAATGTAAGTCAATAAGAAATGCTAGTGTTACTTGGTGTATTATGATAAAAAATTACACAAATACACAAGGATTTACACTTTTTTGTTATATATTAACTTTATTTAATCTATTGATATGAATATAATATCCATCAAATGTTTATTGTTATAGTAACAAATCAAGTACCTGTGATTGGGCTACCATGTTTTTAAATGAAAATGGCATCGAGGCAGTGAATTTGCATGGTGACATGCCATATGAACATAGACTAGGGAAATTCAAAAAATACCAAGATGGTGAAGTTAACATTATGGTTAGCACGGATGTGGGATCCAGAGGATTAAATACAATTAGGGTAATTTTATTATACATTTTATTGAAAGAATCTATTGTACAATAAAACTTCAATATAATGGTCACTGAATGGACTGTAAATAATAATCACATTTAGAGTTAGCCGTCCTAAAGAGATGATTATTAACAGAAGTGCAATACTTCCAGATAATCACTATAAAGAGTATGCATAAATTAAAAAATTAAAAATGAATAATTTATACCTACATACTTAATAATTTATTACTTACGCGTGCAAAGTGAAAAGTTATTTACTATGTGCAATTTAAAATTTAAAATTTAAAATAAATAAGTAACTAATATTAGTTGGTTTGTTAATTTTATTTTTTAAACACATTTTTTTCGAAATTTATTTCTGCTGCCTTTTAAAAAACTTACACCGTCTAAGTAATTTTTTTGAAGAGTAAAAACATTTTCTTTTTTTTCCTCTACAGTTAGTTGGATATCATAGAAACTATGCACTTTAAACTCTTTCAATTGATATCGAGATATTGAACATTAATGAAACATGATCAAATATACAGACATGTCATATTCATGGAGTTTTGTTAAGGTTCGATAATATAACTTAATTGCCAAAAATAATTTAACGTTTTTCAATTTTGGATACCTTCTTATATTTTGAGCATAATTTAGAGTACCTGCCATATAGAGATATTAATGTATATTCCTCATAACATTTGTTAGACTCAAAAAAAACTATTATTACACAGGGGCTATATAGTGGACTGTTGATGAGAGTTTTACTGTACTTTTTAATTATAAGTTATATCAATGTGGTTTTCAGACTAAGCATATTATAAACTATGACTTTCCTACGTATATTGCTGATTATATCCATCGATGTGGGCGTACCGGACGTTTAAATGCTGGTACGGATGGCAAAGTCACCAATTATATCAGTACAAATAATGATTGTGAATTGGTCCAAAAAATTGAAGTAATTACTATAGTTGTCAATTAAATAAAAAAACTAATTTCAGTTAATACATTTTCATGAAATATTTTAAATAATTTTTTCCATATTTGTTTTTATAGTTAGCTGCACGTACTATGAAATCATTACCAAACGTCAATGGAAATATAACTAAAATACGAAGATTCCATATATTGAACCAACTGGAAAACAAAGCAGCCAAAAAATTAGATTAATATTTATTATTTTTTTATATTATATTTTAAACTTGTTTATAAAATCGTAATTAAATGTGATATTGACGACAGAGTATTGCAATAATTACATATCAGTATTTTGGATACCTGTTAGTGTTAACTGATTGTCAACTATAAATTGTATCAGAGAATTCTTAGGTTAGGTGTAAATTTATTTTATACTTCCGACAAAAATTTTAATAGTATTAATAGCAAATATTAGATCCAATTTTGAAGTATAAAAATAAAATACAGTTGATATTGTAAGATAAAAAAATGTAAAATCTAACCTTGAAGTTGGTGACCGGAGCTGGGAGGCGTTGGGAGTCACTACTTGTTGTACTTTAAGACTTGTTAAGAGTTCAAAAGGCTATAACTTTGAAACTAAATCCAAACGCCAGTTCAATTTAACCAACATTTTTGGTCCCATAAAAAAGTGATATTCCGTGTACTGCAAATACAGTTGTCACAGACAAATTATATTGTTGGTAGAAGCCGGTAGGTAGTACTTATTACTTACCGTATATTGATGTGTCTTAAATTATTTTGCAAACTACAATGTTTACCCATACCGATTACCGGATATACTTGATAGGATAATATTGGTGTGGGCATTATAAACTTATACGCAAATTAATTAGGCAAATCGAACATATGTGTGTATATTGAAAAAGAATGTTTGAATAGTTTATATTGGGTAATATTTAAAATAAAACTTATTATACTACAAATGAAAATATTATGAATCCTAACTCGTTTTAGTGAACTCCGACTTATTTTTTTTTCAGACTTATCCAAGTGTGATCTTATATTAAATCTTTTTCATCATACAGACTCTTCAACAAATATTTTTTTTGATAGTTATGCCAAGGTCAACATATTTTAAGCACAACAAATTTTTTCATCATTAGGAGCTTTTTCTTTATAATTGTAAAACATACATGTATTTTATTTAGCAGGGCATGCATAATATGTAATTGAACGTTATTAGAATAGAAATGAACTGCATAACTATTAACTAGTATAAGTGTATAACCCGACTTCGCCTGAGAAAAAATGCAGGCAGGTACTTACAAACATAAACCTGATATTAGAATATGGCACATTATCAGAGTGTATCTCGAATTTAGGTACTTAGTGAATCTTAGATTATGGGCAGATCGGCATCCAGGCTCAGTGAACTGCAACTGCAACACATCGGTTGATGTGGGTAATCCGCCTGGGTATATTACCAAATTACTCTACTAACTTTCCTGATATCTCCTAAGTCTAAGGACTATCCCTGAAACTTTCGACAAACTTGGAAGAGTAGTTTTTGAGCATATAAATAAAAGAAACATACACAGACCATGCAGTTGTTGTGCATATGAATAACAAACAATTAATGAAATATTATTTTCTTTTGTTTACTTTCTCTATAGGTATCAATGTTTTTTTATATTTTAGTAGCTAATATAATATGAGACTCGCTTGAAATAATGCGAGCAGTATATTATCAGATAGGCAGTCCACTTGAGGTAGATTGCGGATTCCATTAGGTGCATACTCTACATGAATAATATGTTTTACTCTAATTTAACTTTTTTATTTTGATGGCGAACACGCCGATGAGCAGCTAAAAGTGCAACTCAGCCACCTTGGTAGGCAATGTGCAAAAATTCAATTTGAAGCATGATTATACGTGATCTACCCGATTAACCAATGACAACCATAAAACAAAAAATACTAATTTTTACTTAATAATAAATATATTTATATTTCTTCTGTAAATCTCAAAATCCTTGTTTGAGCACTCCCCAGGGTGGATCTTTCAGGTAGAATTGTCAATCCAGAAAATCACTCAAGCACACAAAAAAAATTCATCAAAAAAGGTCCAGCTGTTTAGGCAGGCATCATGGATAGACATTTTTATAAATAGATAGATTTCTGTAACAAATGGCAACTCTTTAGGTAAAGAAAAAGAATCAAAATTCATGTGTTAGCCACCCTAAAAGGGTTAAAAAAACAAAGCAAAGGACACTCCCTAGGTCTCGGAGAATAAGTGTGCAAAATTGAGTTACGAATAGCCCAGTAGTTTCCAAGTCTATATGGCATAAGCCCAATACAAACACACTCATGTTTATTTTTATAAATGTATAGAGATTCAATATTAACATTTAACATAGGTACCTACCTTATTTTTTTCTTTTAAGAAATGATACCTAATACCTACTTATTAATATTTTATAATGAAAATGAATGTTATTAAACAACTAAATAACAATATTACCAATTAGAAGAAATAATGATGCATTATGCTATTCTAATTTATACAAATTATTATAAATACTAAATTCTTTTTTTTCAATTTACCAAATCCATTGACTGAATTTTTCAAGTTTAATTTTTTTAGTGTCTTCTTTTTTTAGTTTTATGACTATTGAGTCATTCAATCATTAATCATCCGTAACCAGTGGAAGATTCAACATAAGATTTTACCCTTTTAAGTAAAAGATCTTTCATTAGAAACAGTACCCAGGTACTAACTAAATGTTTTAATAATTTTAAGTAGGTTGGACTTACCTTCGATTTTTCTAAAAATATGCTTCTGGAAGTTATTTGAAGGTACCCATCAATAATTTATATCAAATTAGGTCGGAAAATTATTTACACAAGTTTCACTGTTTATTGTTTAAGTAATGATTTTGTAGAGGTAAATTCAGAAGAAACTTATAACGCATTCATTTAAAAAAAATTGTAGTGAATAGTAGGAATGAATTAAGAGTTCTGTAAGCATAGATAAATTGCATTGACATAATTAAAATTTTAATAAAAAGTCGAGAAACAAATTGTTTGGCTTGTTTTCATGGAGGTGACTATAAATTATAAAGACATTATATTGTATATAAAAAATTATTAATAACTATACTTATATATTTTTATAAGCCAATGAAATATCTGTAAGGTTAAAAATAGCTTTAGGCCTGCACTAATGCATATATTATACAAATTATGATTTATGTTTTATATTTCAATTTTTAACCTTAGATCATCGGCGTAAACTGTATGGCACGCTAATACAATGCAGATAAAATAGGGATGCTAGGTATCAGTATTAGTATCATTAATATTAATATTCATATACGTACCTCATGGTTTTACTTAAACAATACAAATTATTAAATGGTATAGTAATAGTTAACATTAAGGCAGCAGGCTGTAGTAATGACTGCCACTAGCAGGACAGGCTCCATAGTAATTCTATTATGAGGATCATAATATGGTAGATAATAATTGGTACTGCATATTGATGTGAAACGTGATCACGGTTTTTTTAATACGCAATAATTTCCATTTTTTTTTTATTCAAAGGGAAGTGGTGGCCAAAATTATTATAGTTTTAGGAAAGATAATCAACAACCACCAATGATAGTAAGCTTTTAACAATCAAAACATTTCCTGAATTTTGGTTTCGGGGGTCCATCATTTTTGCATTGATTATTGATAAATACGGTTAAGTTATCATTATAAACAGGAGAGTACTTGGAAAATGCACATTTGTAGAGTTTAGAATTATATTTGTAGATTTTTTTTCCTAAAATCATCTAAACACACAAGTACAAAAAAAAAACATTTACTAATCTAATGATAATAATATGTCTACATAATTATCTTACATCTTTAGGTTTTTATAAACATCAAAAATTCAAAAATTTTACATTTAAGAAAAAAAAAACATACAATAGTTATAGTTCCCATCGATGTCTTATAAATATAGTACCAATTTTTTTATGATCCAGAACCTGTGTAGGTTAAAATACCATTATTAGATAAGAAAACTAAAAAAAATAAAAATAAATATCCCACTGAATGTTAACTTTAAAAAATCATAATATTCTATTTATAACAATGATTATACAACTTACTAATAAATAATAGTAGTTACGCGAAAAATTTCACAAAGATAAAACTTACATAATTAATAGTGTTCTCTACTTTATACAAATAGAAATCATTGGTAAATGTAATTTATTTTTTGAGGTAACAATTTTTTTCCTTGGCATTTCTGTTATGTAAATTAAAAATATTTCTTTTTTTTTTCAAAATATGATTTAAAATTTAGTTAATGATACTTGGGGGAAATGTTGTTTTTGGAAAATAAAAGTAAAAATGCTAAGAAATTAAATAATATTGTTGACAGTGCAAAATATTAAAATAACATTAACCTAAAATAATCATTATATAATTGCAATAAATTCAAGTTATACTATATTAGTCGGATAATTCAGCTGTTTCAGATCTGAATGTAATAATAATCAGTAATATAGGAAATTAGGAACACATATTATATACGCCAGTACACAACAAGTATTGCTGAAACAGCTGCATATTGTGCACCATTGAGCATTATTGTAACAAAATGAAAAACTTTTAATTTTTCATACTATGTTTGGTAAAAATGAATTTGTTGTTACAAGTATCAAATGAAATTCGGATTTTTTTAAAAAAATTGTATGAATGGTACACAGCGAGGTAATTTTTAGCATCTTTGCACTACAATCCAAAAAATGATTTTTAGACATGAGACAAATAGTAATTCTCACAAGAAATGCCTTAATACCTTGCATTTTTAAATCGGTTAGTCGTCATGATGTATTGAAAATTAAATCAATGTATTGTTAACACATAATATATATAGTGTGTAAACAATTATTGAATTTTTGTTGGCATCAAATTATTTAATTGATTATTGGTATACCAAAATTGAATCTATTTTATAAAATAATTATATGCATTATTATTCCATTGTGTTCAATAATTATTACATTTAAATTCAAACCTTTCTACACAAACCAAAATCTTGGTTGGAATAATAAATAATACTTTCTTAAGTATTGTTTAATTTTGTGATACAAAAATAAAGATAAATCCTCAATCAACAGTTGTTGTCACTTGTCAGTATTTAACTAAAAAAATTATAAATGTTTTTCAAAATTTGAGAGGGATTGATTTACACATAGGCACCAAATAACAGCTGTAGACTTTTCTAACCAGATTTTAATTCTGCAGGCAGTTAACTTATATTTGTTAAAATTATTTATAGTAATATTTGTAATCATAGAGGTAAGACGGTTTTTAAGTTTAATTAGTATTCTGAGTATTCACTCCGTGATACTTAATATAATATTGATGATTAATTTGATTAATAATTATTTGATAGTTATTCAATTTAATAATAAGTCTACAATATGAGAAACCTAAATATTTTAAACAGACTTTAAGACAAAAATATTATAAAACTGTAACAGTAAGTTTTTTTGATTTTTAAAAATATACGTATCAAAACAAATAAACTTAAAAGGAAACTGATGTGGTAGTCATGTAAAACGTGTGAGGAAATAGAGTAATCACCCAAAGAATAATTTCATATTTAAAAAAAATGTAAGTTAATATTATTAAAACATTAAATAACTAAATACTGATTCAGTTTAAATTGTTTTTAAATAACAAGAATATGCAATGATAGTGAACTTAATTTGAAAAATAAATATTCAATTAGTCATCTGTGCAAGAAAAATATTTCTAAAGTAATAATTTTTTTTTAATTCTTGTATAATTTCAAATTAATTTGATTAGATTTTTGGTAAACATAGTTTCTATTTTTGTTCTTCTAAATAAACTAACTATTTACTATTAGAGAAAAAAACAATAATTTTTTTCAAAAAGTAAATAAATTCAATTTAGTTTCTTTTAAATTGATAACTTAACATTATGCATAATCATTCATAAACAGTATTGAAAATAACAATTTAATTTATGACATACGGAATTTGAATGGTACTTGGTTGAAAATGATCATTCGACAATATGTTCAAATAAAGTGTAAAGGCTATATTACAAAATATAATTCATAATGTATAATTATATAAAAACTTGATTGCAAGCTTTTTTAATAGATTCTAGAGTACAAATCCCGCTTGTATACATTTTCTACCTACAATTTTTCCCAATCATACTCCCTTATAACCCAATACACTATCTCTAGAGCTCGCTATGATGTAAAATTAAGACAAACAGTAAATACCACATCAAAAACATAAAAAAAAATGCTTTACAATTTTTTAAGGATAAAAATGTATCCTGCATACAAGGGAGGCCGGTAAAATGTTTTTAGAATAAATTTTCAACAATATGTACACAAAACAAACACTTTCAACAAGACAGAAAAAAAAATAATAATAATTGAAAAAAAACAGCAATAATTTATAATAAACAGCTACATACAGAAAAAAAAAATAGATGAAAAATTCTATAAATACTGAACGATCTTATAAAAGTGACTTTTTGTGTGTTATAAGTATTTGACCAACGTTCAAAAAAAAAAAATTCACTAGTTCAAAACATTGTATAGTATTAATATAATTTATATACAGAAAATAGCCTAATGTCAAAAAGAAAAAATATGAAGAGTAAAGTCAGTTTATCATTTGTAGTAAATTAATTAATTGTTAAGCAATATTTTACAGAATCACTTACATATTTTTATTTTGTTCACGTATGACTGAAACACGAACTGGCACTTATTGATATTGATCCAGCTAAGTCTTGGTAGCTGAATTGTGGGAAGTATGGTTGTGATTGCTCCATTTCTTCTGCAATGCTGTTGAGGTGATGAGATGATAAATCAGGTGGAGTAAGTTCAACAGATTCTCCAGTAAATTCCGAGTCGAAATATCGTGTGTCTGTGTCTGATGATACTTGAGGTTGGAATGGAGGAGGAATCTAAAATAAACATTCATTTTTTTAGTTAATTATAGAAATATGAATTTTTTTACTGGCTTTCAACATATAAGTTATTACACCTTGAAAATTACATATAGTAATATATTATTTATTGAATAAAATAGAATCATAAAATTAGATTTATATTATCATAATGAATTTAGAATGGTAATTTTTATTACCTTTTTTTGTTCCAAATCCAACCAATTAATACTACTAAAGAAAACATGACTCATGATTTCTTGGGCATCATCAGGACCTCCGCCTAACCGCTTTTTGGGGTCTTTGATTAAAAGACCAGTTAGCAAACTTTTTGCAGCAGCAGAGAGTCCCCTTGGAAATCGTACCTTAACAATAGTGAAAATATTTAATATGACGAAAACTACAAAAGTAATATTTAACATACAGATTCCATTAAAATGAGAGTGAACAATTTGTCATGATCTTTGTTATAAAATGGTAACCTTCCACACATCATTTCGTACATGACTACTCCTATTCCCCACCAATCAACAGCTCGACCATAATCTAAATCTTCTAACACCTCTGGAGCCAAGTATTCAGGTGTGCCACAGAATGTTTTGGTTGTTGACCCATAAGTGATATCTTCTTTGCACAATCCAAAGTCAGCTATTTTAATGTGACCATCTTTATCTAGCAGTAAATTTTCAAGCTAAAAAAATTAAATATTAGTTAAAAACTCAAAAATTACTAATAAAAACCACTTAAAAAAAATAATATTTACTTTTAAATCCCTGTAAATAATTCCTTGGGAATGTAAGTAACCCAAAGCAGAAATAATTTCAGCTCCATAAAAACGAGTTCTATCTTCTGTAAACACTCGTTCTCTTGACAAATGGAAGAATAGTTCTCCGCCATTTACATACTCCATGACAAAACATAATCTATCTGCAGTTTGAAATGAGTATTTCAATGACTATAAAATAAACAGAATTAAAAAATAAATTTAAGTAAAATTGAGAACAAATTTGATTTAAAATTCAGCAAAATTATTAATTACTATTAGAAAAGGATGACTAGTAGTGCGGAGAACCCTGTTTTCAGTAAGCGTATGAGCAACTTCATCTTTTTGGATGATGACTTCTTTTTTAAGAATTTTGATAGCATATAAATGACCTGTAGCCTTTTCTCGGCATAAAATCACTTTTCCAAATGTACCTTTTCCAAGTACTTTAAGAAATTCAAAATTCTCAAGAGTCTAAAAAAGAAAATATAAGTAAAAAATACAATGTTCATATATTTTTAATTTTTATATTACATACCACTTTTCGTTTTCCGGTGGATTTACTTGAAGATGTTCCTTGAACAGAAAATTTGGCACTGAAGTCATCTGAACTGGGTCCCGACATTGTGCTTGATATGCTAGTCGAATGAGAAACGCCTTCCATTTCAACTTCATCAACATCAGACAAACGTTCTGATACACCTTTAATGGCAGTCATCCATTCTTCTCTAAAAATGTAAATATTTTTGTATTATATCAACTGACAATCATACCATACATACAAAGATTTGAGAAAATTGTTTTATAATTTAATGTCAAAATACATTAATAAAAAAATGTATTTATTAGAGGGTTAACATTTACTGGTTTTTCATTGAAGCTAAATTATCCATTATTTAATAAATAATTAGAAAATAAATTTGAAATAAAAATAGACAGATTAGTTTTATTCTATAATTATTCAATTTATAATTTATTTATAATGATATAATAAATCCAATTTGATCGACCAATTTATGTTAATTGTTATGTTTACGTCTGTGTTGATGTTATTAACTATTTAGATACCTATTAAATATTGACTAACATAATTCAAGTTGTTTATTTAAGCAAAAATAATAAATAAATATATTTATTTTAAACTGATATATCATAAAAATAACAACTTGTAGCACCAAATGTTATGAATATGTAGGGCCACTAATATTGAATGGTACCTAACCACTAAACAAAGATTTTTTGGTCGTTTTCTGAATGTACATTCCATTTCAATGAAGATGTTCAGGCCAATAGTATAAAACAAAAAAAGCTTTAGAGCTAGGAACTCAAGAAAATAACATTTCACTTTATAAATTTGTCCAGTACTCATAAGTATAGCAAGTTAGCATATTGTGTTTTCATATAGCTAATAATAAGTCAGTGTGTAAATATTGCCCCCCTTAAAAATATATATATGTACAAATATAAACTATTCAAGATAACAGTACAACAAAATATTAAAATTAATTTTTTAATAAATAATCGTATGATTAGGTTTAACAAAAAAAATAATTATTTAAATAGTAACAAAATGTTATGATAAAAATAACATATTAACCATGTGTTTGTGGAAGTTTGAATCACTTATGCTCCATGTTTACTAACAGCATGACCTCTACAATTGTTTGTAATTATTTTGGATAGCAAATTATGTACTTTGAAACTATTTTCTACTTAATAGTTTTGTAGGTAGGCAGTGAAAAATAAAGCATTTAATATGCTTCGTAATATGACAAATAGGGTCATTATAAGATAAAAACTACCTAGTATTTTCATCTGACCTTTGATGTATAGTAAGATGATGATAGTTAGTACATATTATATACATACAGAAATTAACATTCACAAATTTAATAAAGGTATGACACTGTAATGGGCAAACTAGAAAAAATTAATAAGAGTTCATATAACAAAATAGGTTATATATTGTATATGTTCACCTGAATGGCAAAACATACAAATACGTAATTATTTTTAAATATAACTAATAAGGTTAGGTTAGTAATATAAACCTTATGCTTTAATATTTAAATCTAACAGGAAATCATGAAATAAAAATGTTAAGATATGCAAATAAACAGATATAAGCTGTAAGTTGGAATCAAATAACAACTTACGGTAAATCTCAATAACAAATAAGTAATATCATTATAATTTTAAAATTCTATTTGTACTTATAAACCATTTTTTAAATTTTATTTTTGGTATCTTAATTAATATTTTTGTGGATGATGAATACAATTTGTTTTAGAATTAAAAAAAAATGTCTGTTAAAACGTATTCTAAACTAAACTAAACTACATTTGGACCAAAATAACAATTTCCTTTTATAATAATCATAGGTTAACTGTTCACCTCTAGCTTATCACTTATTTATTTATGAGTTAACATATGGTTTATGTTTAATTGAAAAATTTTTTTTTAATAATATGGTTTTTATTAAAATATTTTCATAAAATTATAAGAGATTCTTTTTTCAACATATGATATCATTATTTAGAAATGATTAAAAATGTGGCACCAAAAATTTGATAGAACACATTTTTAATTTTATCAATTTCATTGTACCTACACAATTCTAGCAGTTATTAAATAAAATAGGTACCTAAACGAATATGTACATAAGTTTAAGCACATCCAAGTTATTTATATTTTTCTCCTCATTAGTACCTATTATAATTGATTTACTAAATTTTTACTTAAAAATAATTGGCTTAATAATTTATTTCTACAAAAACCAGTATGGCTTATGTAATTATATAATCCATTTTTGTGTTAAAACATTGAAGTTGTTTGCACTCTATTTTTCATTTCAAACTGATTTTGACTTAACAAAAAAAAAAACCAAGCAGTCAAATTAAAAAAAGAAAAATGTTTTCTAATAGAGAGTAATTTGAACAATAAGCTGCTAAATGTAGGTACATGATTATATAAGGTTTTAAATTTTAATATAAATATTGATTTACATACAACAGTAAGGCTGGTTCTTACAATGTTCGATTAAATGTCATTTAATGCTTACCGGTTGATAACAGAATATATTACTGGCAGAATCCTGCCAGTTAAGTGTCCGTTATCTTTAATTCGATATTGTAACAACAGATATTACGCAACTTGCCTTGCAATTTTAGTTGCTCTTAATATAAAGGCAAGTTGAAAACTTGATTTGCATCAAGTGAACCCATCTTAAAAGTGATATTTATTAATATCAAAAATGAATGAATTAAATTTAAATATTAGGTATATGATTCTGTTTAAAAACACTTGTATTTGATATATGAATCCAAAGGACAAATAGAGTGTACCTCAGGGGTGGAAAATGGATTAAATTAAGTTGAACAAATTAAATTTATTAAACATAATATGCATAACTTTTGTGTTTAATATTAAAATACTTGCATTGAAACATTTGAAACGCATTCCCATTTTACAATTTTCATTTATAACTACATACTATTACAATATAACTATAGACTATAATGACTATGTTATTTGTCTGTTAAGGAAGCAAGAACTTTCAGTACCTTTATATACACTCAAAATTATTTATATTTACATTTAGGTATCTATCTTAATAAAAATAATCTTCTCTAGGAACACCATTTTGTTAGGGATACCGACTAAAGCATATCTTTATAAAAAATTGAAGTTTCATTGATAGATGTTTGTAAAATAATACTAACCTTTCTTTATCAGAAGACACATGAAATGTTCGTTCAATAACAGTGGTCCATTGCAATCCTCGAATTGTGAATGTGTATGGTTTGGGACGATCAACACTCATTATTTGACACCTCTTTACAGTGAAATTGTTGAGAGGTTCGGTCATTGGACCTTCAGGTTTGTTCCTGTAGCCCATGAGTGAACCATCAGCAAACAGAATAAAATACCTGGACCTCCAGTTTTTAATGTGTTCGCCTATAATGCAAAGGTTTGTAGTAATTTGAAAACAGAATTGGAGTATGAGTAACGAAAGTAACAGAGTGCAGGAGGTTTGGGTCCTACAATAATACTAACCTCGTTTGAACAGCCATCCTTCTTTAACTATTGATGACTGGCTGGACGACAGAGGCAACGGGTTGCAAATGGACTGCAATACGTCGGCCATGGTTACAAGATCAAAGGTTGACAGTGGCAATAGTGTGTTCCGTTATGTCAGATCATCTAGAACCAAAACATCAGATGAGCAACAAATGAAAACGAGATTTAGACAAAAACAAAACAAAAAAAACAAATTACAGACAACTAACCAACACATGCGACAGTTGGAAGGCCACACGAGACTTTAGGGTGTACATGAAGACTTTCGACGATGGACAAACCGTCGTCGTTGTCAAACGTGGGGGAGGGGGAGGGGGAGGGGGAGGACTAGACTACTATGACGAAAACTTGAATAGGAGCCTATTTTGAAAAACCGTAAGCGAAAAAGTTGTCTTCTCGGTGCTACAGGATCAGTATTTCAGCACAATGGACGCGGCGCAATAGTACGTCGCAGAAAGCATGATCGAAGCGTGTCTCGGGTTCCAGAGTCACGGTCGTGTACTATAATATTATCGTCGTAGTATCGTACTCGCGAATGCGCGCACGCGTGTGCAATGCGTGAGTGTGAGTGCGCTCGTACAACGAGAGTTCGATTGGGATAGGCTCGACGGCGGCGATCGAGGAAAACGACTCGCGATCGCGATCGCAGGGGCCTGGGAAACGGATCGATATACGGTCGTCGTCGGTGGACGGTGAATCGATGCGAGCTATACGATAATTACAAATTCGAATGTTACCTAACGCGCGCGCGGACTGAAAATATTGTGTCTCGGCAGCAAAACTTTACAAACAGCGGCAATTGACGATAGACAGTATGCGTGTCTGGGCGAGCCACATCACAATATGCGTTTCCGAATCGAATTCAAAATTCGCGTTTGTACCGTGCGACGATAATCGTACGCGTTTCGGTGATGCGACGGCTGATGTAACCGCTGACGATTCGCGCGCGCGCGCCTAGTAAGATTCCGGCGATTCCGCCTCCCGCCAGACGGTATTGCATTAATAATATAATACATACGTGTTCATATTAAATTGTCTTACTTTGATGATATTTTCTATAGTTACTGACTCGAGACACGCGCTCGGGGACTGCCGATCTAGAATTCCTTTGATGTTGGTCTCACGTCGTCGATGCCACTGCCATATTATTTGCGATCAGTTTTTACATATAACGTTATGTCTTATTATTTATTTATTTTTGTTATTATTATTAACGCACTGGGTTTGTTGTTGTTTTTTTATCGCCATTCAGTAATCGGCAGCGGACGTAGACTAGGGCGGCGGCGGCGAACGATTTACACACTCACACACATACACACATACGTACACACACGCGCGCGGGCGCGCGCCGAGGGAGGATTGAACTTTACAGTGTCGCCGGGTGCTGTTTCTCCATCGCCGACGGTGCGCGCACGCACTGGCCGACAACAGCTGTCACACTGAGTATGTCACGCGCCGCCATCGTTTAAAAACGATTGATTTCCGACGGTTTTTAACGAACTCACGAAAATCGAAATTATGCATGTTTTTACACCAGTGTAATGGAGTCAACACTCTGAACTCTATACTAATAACAACAGGTCTAGGGACGTGCTTGTGGCAATATGTGAAAATAAAAACACTTGAGTATTAGTATCTTACATTCTTACAATACTGCGGTAGTTTACTTAACTAACGTAAGACACGTCGTATTTTAGTTAATATTTGTGTTTTTTTAAAATATTGTTACATTTTTGATAAATAATTATCTCAGTGAATTTTATAATTTACAGGTTTTTCATTGGCGACCACATTAATACTTATTATTATATAATATGTTATACAATATGTTTGTATTAAATATTTAATGTGAGAAGTGGGAACCTAAATACAACTATTAAATTCTATACTTGTGATACAGCACATTTAATATACTCAACGCAAGGTTAATGATTACTTTCAAATACTTTATTAGTCAGAATGGCAAACTGTTCATATTACACATTTATATATAAGAAAAATGTTATAACTATGGAATATGGATGCACATGCCACAAACGTAGTGACGACTCGCCTGTTTGACGGCTCTTGCATAACTCACTACTTGTCAGTCTAAAACAGTGGGGAAAAATGGTACACTCTCAGTGATGGCAACTATCCTGGTTCACAATATAATACATAGATAGTAAATACACTTAACACTTAAGACTTCTGAAGTACCACATCCTATGGGCTATGACCTACATAAATAGTATTTTTCTGAAAATGTTTATTTATCATTAACGTTTTTCTAATGGTCCACTATGAGTATTTTTACTATGAACATTTACTTCTTAGTTCTTAGGTACATAAGCAATTAGATTTGGGTCAACGAATTTCTAACATCCAAAATGTAATGTTTATAATTATAAAAACCAATGGCATTTAATAATAAATACTGTTAAATATTTCATATTAATATATAAAAGTGTTTAGACAAATATAGGTACTGTCTTAAGACATGTAATTGAAAATATAAGTTCCAATTTTAAAATAATAAAATATAAGTTAAAACAACCAACATGACATATTATAATCTTACATTAAGTTGAAATCTTCCGTTGTTCTTAATGGTAAAAAAATTAACAACAGTTTTTATTATTATGAGTATCGTAATAAATATTAAAACCACGACTTAAATCCTGATACAGCCAAATTGAACAATATTATGTGGTTTTCTACAACACGTTTTGGATTCTATTATTCTTATACACTCGGCTTTAATATAATATTAACTCATGATGTTTTTTTAGTGGTCCACGGCGAGTGTGGGTAGAGTTCTTTTAATTGTGCAATAATGTAAATTATTAAAGCTTCGTCAACCAAATTGTATATTATACAGTTGATTTCTCATCACTTACTTTTTTATTTTACATTTTTTTTTATCCAAAACAACATATCTCTTTTTGAAAAAATATAATTTTTTTAGTATAATAACTAATAAGTATTGTAGTTTTTATGGTAACGATAGCTGGTATAACTAAAAAATGTCATTAGAAAAAATGTTGCGCAAAAACACAAAATTGAATAATTGACGGCCATTTTTAAACTGAGTGTGATGGCTGTTGAGTCAGTTTTTTTCCATCTAATTTTTAATCAATCATGCCATTAACATAATCAAAACAAAAGACCATGGAAGGAAACTGTGACCCATCATACTCAGGTCTCTGCAAAATGACCAATTAATAAAGTAATGCAACTGTCGCCGTCGCCGCAACATTATAATTTAAAAATAATATGCACACTTCCACCCACCGATGAACCACGATTTCAGCTGTAATCGCTTATCCCTTATTGAACTGCGTTATTTAATATTACAAATGAATAATAATTATTATTTTTTATTATATGTATAGAGTATAGACGTCTTCAACTACAGACCATTATCCGTCCAATCTCATACTTCGATTGTTATCGAAGTTGCATAACTATCGGTCAATAAGGACTCATAATGGAAGAGCAGCATTGGTTTCACCATAGCCGCTCTACCATGAAGTGCAATATAGTATGCAGTAACTTTGTTTTGACGTATTTTAACAAGTAATCATGTTATTTACACCGACTTCAAGAAGCAAATCAATACGGTTGGTCATGGTTTTCCTTTATAAAAATGCTAGAGGATCTAACCTCCAGTATGCCTTTAATAACTACTTAAAATTGTATCTTTATGGCGTTATAACAGAAATATGATTTAGACAATTTAGTCTTGCAGTATTTGGCACAAAGTCATCTATTATTCTAGGCCCGCCCAGAGTTCCTCAATGAGCGTCCCCCTACTCACGCATCTAATATCAAATGGCAATTTATACGTTTATAAAGAAACATTTTGAAATAGTTCATATTTTTCAAACTTATAGGTAGATTTGCCGATGACAAGAAACTGTTCACGAACCACGAGAATCGAGTGTTCTGAGGTTTGTATTAAATTTCAGAACGATCCCATTTGTTTTATAGACTGGTCTAAATCGCACTAGGACTTAGGTGCATTAAATTTAAATAAATGTCGGGTTGTGATCTTATCAACAAATCTCATATACAGAATATAAGGTATTATTTCAGAACCATCAAATTATTCTATACTAGATCTAGTAGCCTTGGTTTTAAACTAAATAGGTAGTAGTTTTTATCCCACATTGTAATTATATGTTTTAGGGTGCTAAACATTTTGTCATGCAAACAACTTACTGTTACAGCAAATTACATTAAACTAAAAATAACGTTATTCGCGAATAATTTCTATGATTTACCCAATTTTCGTTATAGACCAAATTACATGAATTCCAAATAATAGTAACTGAAACACGATGTGGTTATTATTTTAAATTTAAAACTGTATTATAGTTTATAATAAATTATTATATTATATTATTATATGTTATATTTATTTTTACAAGAAGCAATTCCGTGACATTTATCGATACAACTCTAGACCCTGTGGCAGACACAACGTTGATTGTTGTAACTTGTAACCTGTTGTATGTAATGGTAGCAGCCAGCTTATTGATGGCTCACTAACACAGCTACCAGTTTTCACGCATGTAGAGTGTAGACTGACGGCTAACCTAAACTCTAAAGCTGACTCTTTAGCGCGATTTAATATATCTTTAACCGAGTCACAGACAAACAGTAAAATCATAATTCATAAATATTTCATATCCGATTAATCTCGTTATTATTATCAACATTTCCCACCTCGTACGCTTATCAATACTAATACAAAACACTATATTCCAAATGTGTAGGCAATTAACGTTAGTTACTAGTGAATAACATTATATATTTCAATATAATTTAACTTACCATCACATACACTTTATACACTAGACTTGTGCACTTCGTAAACACAAAAAATAAATTTACTACAATTATAAAAAATAATGTTTCACTCCAGATTAAAACTTAAAACATTATTTAAATCTGTAGTCTGTAGACCAGCGGTTCCCAAACTTTTACGATCCATTATATCATCCAAATATTAGATACCAAGCCACCTAGGTATAACTGTATAAGTTTAGCTACAAAATGCTCTAAGGAATAGGTACAAACTAACTTATAATGTAATCGTAGGTATATACTTATAATCTACATCACAATTCTCAGCTATAGTATCTAAATGGCTATAATCATATTGTATAAATTAATTTCATAAAAATAAATTGAGCGAATATTGCATATACCTATATTATGTATGTAATAATATAATATGGCTAATACTCGTGATGGTAAAATATGTTATATAATTTGATTTATTTTATACTTAAAAAAGAACGAACGTTTTTTCTTTCAAACATAATATTAATAGTGTTAGATAAAAATAAAATGTAAAAAATATTTATATGTGTTATTATATAGCAATAGGTATTTTAGTGAGATATAGATATTAATGATATTATAGTAATAGATATTATATTACAGATGAGTAGCTTCTTCCATAAAAAATGTCACTTGTATATATACATGATGTACCCTTTAAATTAAAGTTTCCACATGTGGTTATTGTTCATATATAATAGATTGTAAATATCATAGAGACCTAATAGTTTATTTTTAATAAAAAAATACATGTATATTATATCTGCGAATGATTGAACATACTTGTTTAGTTATAGTATATTTTTGTGATTAAAATATTATGTACATCGGATGTTGCAGCACAGTACCTACAATATTTCTTCTCTTTTTTCCCCTTGTTATAAACACCTATTTATATATTACATATATATATACACACTATAATATAATAAACCACCCAAAATATCTTACTGAACACTTATGTTAATAAATTGCAACTAAGAGTGACAATATTTTTTTATTTTAGCTGTTATACCTCTATACATTATATGTACATCGTCCATACTATTAGTCACACCAGTACCATAGTCTTTACATTATCGCATAACTGACATATTCCCAAGCTCCGCCTATG